TGGTGGCAAGCACCCATAGTCCCAGAGGCTGAGGCAGGAGGATTGCTTGAGCTCAGGAGTTCGAGGTTGTTGTGAGCTATAATGATGTCACTGCACTCTACTGGGGGCCACAGAAAGAGACTCTAAGAAAAGACAGAAAGAGAGGAGAGGGAGAGGAAGAGAGAGAGAGAGAGTGAGAGAGAAAGAGAGAGGAAGGAGAGGGAGGAGGGAGGGGAAGGGGAGGGGAGGGGAGGGGGAGGGGAAGGAACGGAGAACAGAAGGCCCGGAGACTCCACCTGACCCTGCTCTCTGGGTGTCACCCCACCTTCCACTGAGGACAAGAGAGCAGCTCCGGAGTTCCCGAGTCGACAGAGCCACATGACCTCGGCCTCGCCAATCGGCAGACATGGTGGACGGGCCAGTGCCTGGCCAAGGCCTGGCTTGTGACCAATGGTGGGGCCTTAGGGACCAGGAGGAAGGGAAGTCTCGAGTCTGTTGGGTCGCTGGGTCAGTTGGTGCCACCCTGTGCCCTTGAAGTTATCTGCAGACAGCACCAGCACCGAGGAAACTGAGCAGAGCCAAGAGTTTGGGAGAGTGGCCATCACCGTCGCGGTCACCGCACCGCGGGGCGTGGAGGCTGAGCACGCGTGTCAGCAGAGCACCCGCAGCGAGCTCGCAGCACTGCCAGCTGGCGAAGCCCGTGTGCCCGGTCAGCGCGGCTGCCAGTGACCGAGTGGCCGTGGCCATGGCCACCGCAGAGGAGACCAAGGCAGAGTGGCCCTCCCCCCTGTCACGTTGTCACACAGGCGGCTGTAAGGTCGTCCCACAAGGGCAGCCGAGCCCAGAGTCGCCCCACAGCAAGCTCGACCAAGCGACTGGCGACCACCCCAGACACGCGGCGCTGGTGACGCTGTGCCGCCAGGACAGCTGTCCGGCCATCCCCAGGGCCCTGGTGACGTTGAGCCACCAGGAAAGCTGCCCGGCCGTCCCCAGGGCCCTGGTGACGCTGAGCCGCCAGGACAGCTGCCCGGCCGTCCCCAGGGCCCTGGTGACGCTGAGCCTCCAGGACAGCTGCCCAGCCGTCCCCAGGGCGCTGGTGACACTGAGCAGCCAGGACAGCTGCCCGGCCGTCCCTCATGGGCCCTGGTGACGCTGTGCCGCCGGGACCCCAGCCCGGCAGTCCCCGGGGCGCTGGTGACACTGTGCCGCCAGGACACCTGCCCGGCCGTCCCTAGGGCCCTGGTGATGCTGAGCCTCCAAGACAGCTGCCCTGACGTCCCTAGGGCCCTGGTGATGCTGAGCCTCCAGGACTGCTGCCCTGACGTCCCTAGGGCGCTGGTGACGCTGTGCCTAGGGCCCTAGTGACGCTGAGCCGCCAGGACAGCTGCCCTGACGTCCCCAGGGCCCTGGTGACGCTGAGCCGCCAGGACAGCAGTCCGGCCGTCCCTAGGGCGCTGGTGATGCTGTGCCTAGGGCCCAAGTGACGCTGAGCCACCAGGACAGCTGCCCGTCCGTCCCTACGGCCCTGGTGACACTGTGCCGCCATGACAGCTGCCCGGCCGTTCCTCATGGGCCCTGGTGACGCTGAGCTGCCAGGACAACTGCTCGGCCGTCCCCAGGGCGCTGGTGATGCTGAGCCGCCAGGACAGCTGCCCGGCCGTTCTAGGGCCCTGGTGACGCTGAGCCTCCAGGACAGCTGCCCTGCTGTCCCCAGGGCGCTGGTGACGCTGAGCCTCCAGGACAGCTGCCCTGACGTCCCCAGCCCTGTGACGACTGAGCTGCCATGTGACATTACTGCCTTCGGAAACCGTCCCCAGCTGTGCGATGGTGATTCCTGCTGAGCCGCCAGGACTAGCTGCCCGTGGACGTTCCCACAGGGTGCGATGGTGATGGACTGTGCGTCCAGGACAGCTGCCCGGGCCGTTCTAGGGCCTGGTGACGCTGAGCCACGCCAGGACAACTGCCCGGCATCCCAGGGCCCTGGTGTGACCTGAGCCTCCATGGACACGCTCCCTGCTGCTCCCCAGGTCGCTGGTGACCGCTGTAGGCTCCAGGACAGCTGCCCTGACGTCCCCATGGGCCTCTGGTGATCGCTGAGCTGCCAGGACACTGGCCGCGCCGTCCCTAGGGCGCTGGTGACGCTGAGCCGCCAGGACAGCTGCCCGGCCGTTCTAGGGCCCTGGTGACACTGAGCCTCCAGGACAGCTGCCCTGACGTCCCCAGGGCGATGGTGATGCTGTGCGCCAGGACAGCTGCCCGGCTGTCCCTAGGGCGCCGCGCTCGGGCTCAGGGCGGGCCTCAGGCTCGTCTGGGCGGAGAGCAGCACCGGGCCCAGCAGCCCGCGGAACGGTGGCCATCCACAG